AGTTAAGATCATTTACATTTTTGGCTATTACTGAAAATATACAATTGTTCTTATCATTTTGTTCATTATTTTTTGTTGTTGCTTTGAAAATTCTATGCTCATTTATTCATCTTTTATTTATCTTAGACATTTGATGGCAGTGTTTGATTCTTTTCTATTTTTCATTTGCATAGCTCCTCTCCTAGTGAGATTTATCTTTTCCTGTGCCCTCATGACTGTGAGCATCATTCTTCCTCTTCTGGGTGTAGAATTCCCTTAAGTATCTTCTATAATACTGACCTAGTGTCATAGATTCCTTTAATTGATGCTTATCTTGAAATATTTTTTATCTGTGCTTGATTCTAAAAGGTAATCTTTGTGGGTATAGTAGTCTCGGTTGGCAGTTATTTTCTTTCAGGCCATGAAATGCATCATTCCATGCCTTCCTTGCCCAAAGAGTTTCTGCTAAAAAAAAAAAAATCTGCTCTTGTTCTAATGAGTTTGCCTTTGGATATGACTTGGCACTTCTCTCCTAAAGCTTTTAATATTTTTTATTTGTTCTGTACTTTTGGCAATCTAATTATAACATGTCATATAGAGGTTCTTCTCTGGTCACATCTATCTGAGTTTCTAAATTCCTGCTGTTCCTGGATGTCCATATCTTTCCCAGTATTTGGGAAATTTTCTGCTATTATTTCACACAATAGGTTATTTATGCTATCAGCACATAACACTTCTACCTCTGGCATACTGATTACCTAGATGTTTGATCTCCTATTGGTGTCCCAGAGATTTGGTATGATCTATTCATTATTTTTTTTCCTTTATTGCCATCTGAATATGGTATTTTGGCAGGATCATCCTCAAGTTCTGATATTCTTTCTTCTGCTTGATCTAGTCTGTTTGTGAGGATTCTAACTGAATCTTTAACCTGGATTATTGAACTTTTCATTTCCAAGCTTTCTGTTTAGTTATCAAAATCCTCTCTTTTTTGAAATGCTCAGTTGTATCCTGTATTGTCTTCCTTATTTCATTCAACTGTTTATTTGTATTCTCTTAAATTTTACTTGACTTTTTAAACTCATTCTTATGAATTCCCTGTCTAGCATTTCACATACTTTGACATCTTTGGAATCTGATCGCATGAAGTCACCAACTTTAAGAGGTGACAAATTTCCTTCTTATTTCTTGGGTTTCTATGTTGAGATTTATACATTATGGGAAGGATATCCATTCCATTTTAATGTAAAGGCCTTCTTATCAAGCACCTTCTCCTGATGATGTATCTTGGGGTACTGGTTTATTTATTTATTTATGTAGTATTGAATTTGATTTTAATTTGGTTTTTGTAGCGCAGTGTCCCTGTGGCTTGACTGGCTGTGATTGCTGTTTTTTTTCACAGTGTAAACAGTGTTAGAGCTTGAGGGACCAGTTTTTGCATTTTTTCCCCCTTGGCAAGAGTGAAGTCCCTTGGATAATTCAAGCAGGTAGACAGTAGAATAAGTGGAGTGCACCTTCTGTGTTTACCCCCAATGGGATTAGAAGTCCCACCTAGCAAGTGATGGAGGTGTCCTCAAGTACTGTTTTTGTTGGTTCTGTTACTTAAAAATGATTGTGGTGCTGGCTGTTCCAATTATCATGAAGTGCCTGAAGTTTTGACACTCTGCTTATACCCTGGTGCAGATCTGATATTTCACAGGGAGATACAGGCAGCAGTCAGAGTTCCCCCTCTGTGGCTCTTGCCTGCAGTCTAGTCATCAATATGCCATCTGATAGGATGTAGGAGTGACTGATGCTGATAACTTTTGTACATGCAGTATCCACAAAAGTTGTGTTATTTCCTTCTGCTGTTGGTGTGGGGGTGAGTGTCCAGGAGCTCCAGGAGGTCAGAGCCCCACTCGCCATGCCATGTGGGAATAGCTGGCCAGCTGAGGACTTTTACCTCCACTTTTCTCTAAGTTGAAGTACTACTGAGATTTCAACAGGACTAGGTCATAGTCGAAGCATCAACTCCTCTCAGCTGAGCTGGGGGTGCAGTTCAGTGGCAGAGCACCCATCAACGGTGCTGAACTCCCAGGCTCAATCCCTAGCACCATGAAAGGTAAGAAAGAAAAGAAAGAAAGCAGATGAAAAAAAAAACTACTTTTACATAAAGATAGGAGAAAAGCAGCATAGAGTAAAAATGCTGAAAAGATAATGGAAATAGCATTTTTAGAAAAGAAAGAAGAAAGAAAAAAATAATGAAAAAGAGGAGAAATGAGAAAAGTGGAAAGTAAAAAGGTGGAAAGGAGAAAGAATCAAAGGAAATTTTTAAAAGAAAACAGCAATAAAGAATTCAAGCAAACAAACCAAAAACAGCAAGAGTGAGAGAGAATTAATAAAAAATAAGAATTAATAAAAAATAAGAACTCCCTCCCCACCAAGGTACTCAAGTGAAGCCATGAGAGTAGAAAAATGGATCAAAGTCTCCCTCCCTTCTGCACGTGCCCTGAGCACAGAGCAGAGCTCACCTCTTCATGCCTTTGTGGTGCTCAGCTGGTGACTAGTGGAGTGATTTGTATCTGAAGCTAGAATCGCCCTCAGCTGCTTTGCCCACTGAAACAAGAGAGTGAAGAAAGCAGAACTCCCAGTTCGAGATTCTCTCTGGAGCTTTTTAATTTTTTTTAAATTAATTAGTTTATTTATTTTAATTAGGTCTATATGACAGCAGGATGAATTTTGATTCATTGTACATATTGCAGCACAACTTTTCATCTCTCTGGTCGTACAAGATGTAGCGTCGCACCCCATGTGCAGTCATAGTGTATGTAGGGTAATGATGTTTTTCATTCCACCATCTTTCCTGCCTCCATACCTCCTCCTTACCACTCCCTCCCCTTTGCCCAATCAAAGTTCCTCCATTTTTCCCATGACCCCCCCCCATTATCAATCAGCATCCACTTATCAGAGAGAACATTCAGCCTTTGGTTTTTCAGGATTGGCTTACTTAGCATGATATTCTCCAACTCCATCCATTTACCTGCAAATGCCATGATTTTAATGCTGAATTATATTCCATTGTGTATATATACCACAGTTTCTTTATCCATTCATCTATTGAAGGGCATCTAGGTCCCTCCCACAGTTTAGCTATTATGAATTAAGTTGCTATAAACATTGATGTGGCTGCATCACTATAGTATGCTGATTTTAAGTCCTTTGGGTATAAACCAAGGAGTGCGATGGCTGGGTCAAATGGTGTCCATTCTAAGCTTTCTAGGGAATCTCCATACTTCTTTCCAGATTGGTTGCACTAGTTTGCAGTCCCACCAGCAATGTATGAGTGTGACTTTTCCCCCACATCCTCATCCTGGAGCTTTCTGTTGTGCATGCATTGAGGGTGAGGGAAAAGTGGAACCAGGCTAGTATGGAATGCTGCACTTGCCTGACAAAGATTCTCCCTGGAGGTTTCCAGGCTTTGTGCTCTGAGGGCGGGGGCTGACACTGGCTCTGTGTATATCTGTGGCAGTATCCATGGGTAGACAGTGACAAGTGAATCCCAAAAGAACTGTATTGGGATGCAGGAGTGAAGGAGTGCGACCTGTACTATTCACCCACTATGATTCTGATGCTCCAAGATCTTGGCTCCCACATAAAATCACTCTCAATAGTTCATTCCTTCTGGCTCTCCAAATTTACCCCCCCAATACTGGTGATTTAACCCAGGGGTGCTGAACCACTGAGCTATATCACTAGCTCTTTTTGAGGTAGGGTCTTGCTAAATTGCCTAGGCTGGCTTAAAATCAGCATACCATAGTGATGCAGCCACATCAATGTTTATAGCAGCTCAATTCACAATAGCTAAACTATGGGAGCAACCTAGATGCCCTTCAATAGATGAATGGATAAAGAAACTATGGTATATATACACAGCATGCTTTGGGATGGGCCTGTAGCTCAGTGGCAGAGTGCTTGCCTTGCACATGTGAGGCACTGCATTGGATCCTCAGCACCACATAAAAATAAACAAATAAAATAAAGACATGCTGTCCACCTACAACTACAAGAATTTTTTTTAAAGAACATGCTTCATTATTTCATTTTACTGAACCTAGGATTCCACAAATTTATTTGATAATGCAAATTTTTTCATAAAATGATTAGCATTATCTGGAACCCAAGTTTTCAAATGATGCTTTCAGAAATACTTCCCTAGATTATTAATTTCTTGTATGCATATTCCATGCATTTAGCTCAATTTTGCATCCTTCACACATAGCATAAAGACCTTCATCAAATTGAATTTAATTAAGGTCTTTTGAACTGAATCCACAATACATTGACTAGATCATTTCTCAAATTCCTTTCAGCTTACAACATCTATGACTATGTAATGCATAGATGTGTCCAAGTTTCTGCTAGAAATTTCCATCATCAGCATCAAAAGAACAAGGATTAAGATGAATATTCTTTCTCTTTCATTCAAATAAAGCTTTTGCCTTTTACTAAAGGAGCTCTGAGTAAAATAAAGATCAGAGAGAGCTTCCTGGAGGAGGTGTGTTTTGAAGATATTAAAATAAGGTGTTACAGCGGTAAGCCTGGATACAAAAAGAAGACATATATGAATTGTTATTCTTGTTTGTATTTTTTTAAATGGCCACTAATTCTCTGAGATCTCTCTTAATAACTGATGAGTTCTGAATCTCCTCTCCTTGATTCTTTGGTACTATGTGATCTCAGAGTTGGACCACAAATGTCCATGAAGCTTCACCTGGCTTTCATGGCCTGCTCACTTCTCTAATGCTCCCTCCTAGGACACTTCTTCTTGAAACCAAGCCAGCAGGCTGTGGGAAACCTCGGTTACCTGGGGAAGTTCACACCGATGCCCCAGTGAGTCCCTCCTCTGAGTCATCACAAACCAGGTACCAGGGACACGTTTGAAGGAGCCATCTTTCTAGTGGAAACTTCAGCCCATTGTTTTAGTCCCAGAACCTGAGCTATCTGAGCCTCCATAGATGTTCAAGTCTTTTTTATTTCCTTACGATCCTCATAAGAGAAAAGCACATCCATCATGAACTCATCTGACAGATGGCGATTTGATTCTATTCATCATATGACCATTCAAGTCTTATCTACTGAGGCTTCATCATGCAGCAGTTAGAAGCCATTCTCATAGCACTCTATGAACCCCTGACCCACAGAATCATGACAGTAGCTACACGGGTTACTTTAAACTACTGTATTTGGAGGAGGTGTGTCATGCAATGATTGCTCGTACAAAACAGAAAATAATAATAGAAAATGCAAAACTCTAGCCACACTTCCCAAAATAAAAATCTATTGACTCATGAATCTATAAAAAGAGCAGGGGCTGAATGCAAAACTCCAGCCAGACAACCCAAAAGAGGAATGTATTGATTCATGAATCTATAAAAGAGCAGGGGCTGAATGGGTCTGAAGGACAACAGTGCAGAAACTCATGTTGTTATCAGAAGTCTCTCTCCACCTGTTAACTCTCCTTCCCTTCATATTGATAGTAAAGAAAATTTGTCTTTCCTGGGGTCAGTCATTTAGATTTACAGGAAAAGACATTGGTCCAATTGGATCCTGTATAAATTCCTGGATTGACAACTGTGGTTAAAAGCCTGGCCCACTCAGGGACCAATCCCTTTAGCCAATGGTCTTCACCAAATCATATCATGAGAGCAAAAGAAATTTTCCCCAAAAAAGTATCTATTGTGGAAAGAGAGACAAAGTAATTGGAAACAATTGCAGTGATGTAAAATATCATTTCAGAGGTACTATCTGAAGTGGAGTAATACTATTTATCCCCAGGTGAAATTTGGGATAATAAGACCCTAACTGAAGATAAAGTGAAAAAGTCTCAAGATCCTAAAACTTGAAGAAATATGTTTTCATGAAGTGTTAAACCCTACCAGATTTTTCTAATGTACATGTAGCACATGTTTTCACACCGGCCATTTCACTGTATCCTCACACCAGGAGGCAGGTATGGTAATCCTCTGTTATGAACCAAGAAAACAGAACTCCTACAATTAAGAGTTACTTGCTCAAGGTCATGTGCTTCTGGGGTTCAGAAGCAATATTAAAGTCTGGTCTTCAGTGTCCAAATCCAGAACTCCAGATCTAATTCACATTAAGAGCGCTGAAACCATTGAACCAGGGTTTATTTATTCAGACTAAGAAAAAGAAAATCTTTAAATTTGTATCCATGAAAACTAAACATGAGTATCCCAAAGTGCTAGTTGTTCAGACATAAGGCAATAGAGTGAACTAGGTCTTCAGACACTCACAGACGTTAACCACAGCTTGAAAGATGGGTTTTCTCCATTGTCTAAGTGCCCTTGGACCTCATACAAACCCCATACTTCTTGGAAACATGTATCCCTCTGAGAGCCAGGGAAGGCATGTGGTCCAGTAAATGCAATTAGCAGTCTCACTGCATGTTTCCTCGTCTGTTGTCTCCCAGAGTACAGCCATCAGAAAGCTCACATTTTCAAAACATTCTTCCAAATGACCAGAGTTGCCAACAGATTTTAAGGAGGTCTGAGACATCTACCTCCAGAGTCTCTGGGATATGTGAAAATATTTGCCTAGCATCTCATGAACAACATACTTCTCTGGGCACAAAGGGACATAGGAAGGAGAGACTAAGGCTGAAAGAGAAAGATACAGTGATCAGGTAAGAAGCTGGACAGACTCCAGCACTGTATAACTCTGAGCAAGTTATTTAACCTTTTTTATAATGTAGGATTAATAATGAGATAATGATAATATACAAACATTTGTCTTCACCTCAGGCAATCATGTGCTCTAGGCCTTTATATTCAAATACTTGCTCTCCTGTGTTTCATGGAACCCCCAAAACAATATGACCAAAGCTGAACACGTGACAGTCTCCCTTGGTTTTGCACACTTTGCAGTGTTTGCCTTCATAAAATCTTTACAGCAATTCCATCCCAACATTTCTATCAAACTGGGAATCTTGAACATTAATTTAGAAGACAATCAAACACACCACCTTCTCAGTTCCATATACTCCAAGCCAATGGCAGCTTTATATCCATTAACCACCAATTGCAAGGAAAGGGACAAGTCTATATTTTTAGTGCCACCTGTACCTGACTGCATGATCTCCCAGCAGAGAGGTACACCTGTCCTCCATGATGGTGTCTAGGGCCCTGCTGTATTCTATAATGATCAGTCCATACATCACTGAAGGAGCTGAGTGTGGCAGGAATGCTGCATAAGAACAACTTCAACAGTGAACAGGACCATGAATTCCTTATTCTTTCTCTATGGACAACAGTTATTAACACTGACCCCTTGAAACAAGGGAGTTTGGGGAATGCTTGACTCAATCACAGGTAGTGACTTCAAGTTGATAAGAAAGTCTTCGTGTAATAAATGGAGTTGACTTAGAAATATTTAACTGGTACTTCCAGAAGGGGTAAGACCAGTCATATTGTATTAGTAGATAGTGTCCTTAAATACCTCTCTGACAAGACTGTGAGCTCTTTGAAGCCAAGAACCATGTCTATTGCCCTCACAGAGATCACCTCCGCCTATGTTCAGAAAATGTTCATTTTATTTTATTTTATTTTTCCATCTTAGCTTCTTGGAGCTCTGAGTTATGGTATAAAAGGTCTGATTATTCTGCTAGAGAGACCATTTAGAAAGTTCTACAAACACATTTAATTCATTTTAGACACAAATGTTCAGTTCATTTTAGACACCGACTTTCTTGTGGACATAGTTTTCCATTTATTTTTACATCCCCTTGTAAAATCAAGAGATATTTATTCAATTTAGTGTCTTGGATTCTAGTCCATGGCTTTCAGTAATTATATTTCAATTTGTGCCTCTTAATAAAAAGCAAATTATTTTGGTGAAATATTTCTGGTGCTTTTCGATGAATCATTTACAAAGTTTAGAAAGAACTGAATAGAGGTTGCTAGAAGAATTTAAATCTTAAAAGGTAAGGTGAGACTGAGGTCCATCTGGGATGGGAGAGTGCACCCATTCTTTGGGTGGATATGCCAGATTTAAAATGAGAAGTGAAAAGGAAGCTGTGGGCTGGCCCGCAGGGACCCTTCCTTTGCTGTGGGGGCTGCAGTTCTGTGACAGGCAGCACATGTTTAGGAGGGCAGAAGCCACAAACAAGAGTGATAGTGTCTGGAGAGGCAGCATTTGGGGTGGAGTTGGGATGGGGGTGCCCTTTCATGGTACTGGAATCAATTTGGTTTTGCGCTCTCTCGTTTCCACTGCTTAGGCACCTGTTTTGTATTTGAATTTTCATAGCAATCCCACAGGCTCACATACCACACACAAGTACAGTTATGGTAGGTCTGTGGGTTGACTTTTTTTTAAGTTAACTCCAAATGCATGGGAAATAGAAGATAGAGCAAATTCATAAAAGGCGTGACTACTCAAGATATTAACTCTTTCCATGAAGAATACAGCCCTGCTCCAGAAGTTTTCAGGGGCTGAGAATTGACCTGGGTGATGGCAAAACATTATTGACAGGAATGGTTATCTACATGTCTATTCCTACTACCAGGATCTCTTTAGGGTATTTTGTCTGTCTCTTAATGAGGCATCAGCCAAATGGATATGATGAGTGGCTTTTTCCACTCATGACTTCATTCCTTAAACACTTCCTATTTTCTGCCGCTCATGTTCACACTGTTCTAATCTAGAATGATCTATCTTTGGGCTTAATTTTTCACGTTTGTATCTTTTTTTTCCCTCCCAATCCCACTTACACGGCTATTTTGTATAAAGAACCCTAGACACACTCACCGTGGATTGTGCTGTTTCTCCCCACCGGCCACCTTGTTTCTGACTCCCCTGGGTAACTGACTCTAACTCCTCAGCCACTGGTAAGGCACTTATCGAACATGGACACTGTTATCAGAATAGACCTGAAACTGTCCAAGAGATTTTCATTAGTCCATCATTATTTTGTAATAATCCAATCCAGTACATATATACTGGATCATGCACTTTGGGGTACACAACTTGTGTAACAAGTTAAAAATCTGTTCACAGAACAGTTAGCGGGAACACCACAAGATTGTAAGTATAGGCCAGACCCTGTGCTTCTGTCTATACCAGTTTTGGTTTAATGTGGAGAAAAAAGAAAATAGGAGCTTAAAAAGTCAGAGAAAATACCCTTATAAGCCCAATCAATGAGAGTCAAGGTCATACAGCAGACATTCCTGGGTCCCACGAACATCCATCACTTCAGCCCTGCCTTTTGGTACAAGCCAGTCCAATGTCCAACTTCTATCACTTCAGCTTTACCAAAGGGTATTTTCTGGTCGCCACATCCCACTCTCCCTGCATGCTGGGCAGGCAGAGTGCTAGGGAACTCCATCTCCTCTTCCCCCTCCCCAGGCTGTGACGAATGTGAATAAATCTGTTTGTTCTCTTACTCATATTGTTAATTTCTTGATAATGATTCTCTATCAGCTTCCTTCTCTACCCTGTATCATTTCTCTACTTGCTTTTTGAATATTTCCTAGGGATCACTTCCAAAATATACCCTTTGCACCTGACTTAGAGTTGTAGGGCCTGCTTTTGTGGGGAAGCCAATGAAGAAATTTTCAGGAAATTACCCTTAATGACAAGCTAGGTTATTGTCAAGAAATAGAACTAATATCAGCTTTAGTGATCAAGGTAGTATGATAAAGAGGAAAGGGAAGAAATAATCTCGCAAGTCAGAAAGTGAAAGAAGGTAAAAGATGTGGGTTAGGGAGGGAGACAGGAGGCCGGACAGCAGCAGGACAAAACTTCAGAAGGAAGGCTGTGAACATGAGAGTTGGCTGTGCCCAGAACTTGATTCAAGAACTAGGATTAATGGGTTATTAATGATTTTGATGTTTGAATACTTTGAGAAACTGATGAAAGCTTTGGATTGTATATCCAGAAAAAATAAAAAGTGTGTACAATTTTGCTTGGAACTTCAAGGGATTCCCAACCCCTAGATTAAGAACCCCTGATTAAAGGATCTATGTAAGGCTGGACTCTGAGGGCCTTGATTGCCTGCAGAGTGCTTTAGCATTCATTCCACAGGCAATGGGGAGGCAGCAGAGGTTTTTACTATCACAGTTCCCAAGTGGTTATAGTTTTCCATTCTAAATGGAACCCCAGAAATCTGGATGTTTTTAACAGATTGAAAGAGAGATTAGAAAAAAAAAAGTGCATAGATAATTGAGCTCCTTGTTGGCCAAAAACATTTGCAACCAGATGCACTGGAGGGCTTCAAAGGCTGCTGACTGCAGAATCCAGATGCACCTCAATGATGCCCTGAGAGTCACTGCCACAGCCAAATGTTTTGGCCTCAAAAATTCCTGGAGCAGGATGGATGCTGAATGGAGCTGGAAACAAACTCAGGGCAAGCACAACTGTCTATATGACCACATCTAAGAAGCCTGGGGTGAAAAGCTCGTTATAAAAAGCAGGGGAGAGAGGGTGCTGAGAACAAAAGAATCCACTTTGGGAAATGAATAGAGCTGGGAGCCTAAAGTAGAGAAAATATGGAGAAGGATCTAAAAGAAACACAGTCATAGAAAATATAAGCTGATTTTAGAATAACAGATAAAAAGTATAGCGACAAGAGGGAAAAAAATGACAATAATTGGGCTTTGTTATGGTTTAGATATGAGATGTCCCCCAGAAGCTCATGTGTGAGATAATTCAAGAAAGTTCAAAGTAAACTGATTGGGTTATGAGAATCTTAACCTAAGAGGTGCATTAATCCGCTGGTAAGTATTAACTGCCTACGATTATCGCCCTGTTTGAAATTTTCTCAATCAAAAAAGAACTTTGATTGAGAAGTAGGTGGATTGAGTATGGCTGGAGGAGATGGGTCACTGAGGATGTGCCTTTGGGATTTACATTTTGTAAAGGGAGCTCTCTCTTTCCTTCTCTTCCCTTTCCTGCCCTTCCCTGCCCTTCTCTCCCCCACCCCCTTATTCCTGGTGCCATGTCCTGATCCACTTTTTCCCATCACACCTTTCCACCATGTTCTGCCTTACCTCCAGCCCTGAGGAATGGAGTCGGCCATGATTGGACTGAGACCTTTGAAAGTATGAGCCCCCAAATAAACATTTTCTCCTCTAATTGTTCTTGTTAGGTCTTTGGGTCACAGCAGTGAAAAATCTGACTAAAACAGGCTTAAAGGACCTGGAGTATTAAAAGGGAGAAAAAAAAGAGAGTTAAATCACTTTTTTTTTGTTCTTTTCTAAAAATGAATTTAAAGAATGGAGTATCTACTATATGAGAAAACAACATTCAACATTGCTATACACAATAATCCTACAACTAAGGAATAGTTCCTTGTTACAGGTAAGTAAATGCTCTGTTTGGGTATAACTTGAGTTTGTCCCCCAAGGGTCCATATGTGATGTCAAAAGATAATGAGAGCTTTAAGAGGTGGGACCTGGTAAGAGATCATTAGGTCATTGGGGGGTGCCACCCTCAGAAGAGATGAAGGTACTTCTCATGGGTCCTTGGTGGATTCTCATGAGAACGTTATTATAAAGAGCATTCTTGACTCTTTCCATTCTGTCTGGCTTCCTGTATCACGATGTGATCTCTCCCTTTTCACCTGTACTCCCACATGATGGCATTTTCTTCTGAGACCCTCTCCAGAGCTGGCTCCATACTATTTCATTTTCTAGTCTCCAAAACTTGAGATAAATAAGCCCCTTTTCTTTTCTTTTTTTAGAGAGAGAGAGAGAGAGAGAGAGAGAGAGAGAGAGAGAATTTTTTAATATTTATTTTTTAGTTTTCGGCAGACACAACATCTTTGTTTGTATGTGGTGCTGAGGATCGAACCCGGGATGCACGCATGCCAGGTGAGCGCGCTACCGCTTGAGCCACATCCCCAGCCCAAGCCCCTTTTCTTTACAAGTTACCCAGCCTTATGTATTTCATTGCAGTGATAGAAAATGGTCTACTATAGTATACTAAAACCCAGAAGAAACTTGTATAGGGCCACCAAATGAGCAATGGAAGAACCGGGGTTTAAACCCAGACCTATCACTTGGAGTCACACACACTAGCTTCTGTGGCTCTTGTCCCAGAGCTCATATTTGTAGACCAAACTTGCCTAAAATGAAGATAATTTACATGACAGAGGTAACAAAGGAAAAACTGTGCCTGCCTAGCTATTTATGGACTAAGCTGATGGTGAGGAGGAGAGTGTTATTGCTGGTCACCACCATCATCTACATGATGATCTCTGAAATGTCCACATCCAAGCCACCTTGACAGGCATAGACCCACTGCTCAGTCAGGCTGGACCTGTGGAGAAGTGAAAAGCTTTGATTGAGAAGGAGGGCTTAAAACTGGGCTATCCAGATCGAAGCCCTTGGGCTTCTGGAAGGCCCTTGGTATGGCAGAAAGAGCGTGGATGCTGAGCCAGTCAATGAAGGAATGAGCCCCTTACCCCTCTGCTACCTGCACCACCACTGCACCTCTCCCACCTTCAGCTGTGTCACTGGCATATATCAAATCAAAGTGCCTGTATTTCAAGGATAATGTGATGATCATACAAAATAATGGAGGCACTGTGTCTAGCACAGTCCCCGTGCAAACTATCAAGGGCTAGCAACTTTGCATTCCAACACTCATTGTCTACTGGAGTCTCGTCTTTCTTATGTTCCCTAGAAACCCACCACCTTTTAACCCCCTTCCCTCCCCACACCTCAAAACACATATAGTTAGTATGAACTATAATAACAAAGCATTTTTTCTTAGAATTTTTAAACTTACAGAACTCTTCAACTTCCGTCTCAATATCTCTCTTCATCCTCCATCTGGAAGCAAGTAAATAGGAATTATTACCCTTTTGTTACTTATGTTGGGAAAAGGCTTGGAAGTCCATGTGATGGGCCCCAGTCACATAGGAAGTTCAAGGTCAAGCTGGCTTAAGTGAACAGAGTCATAAAATATAGAGATATTTTGGACCAATTGTTTACCCTCTTTGGGACTCATTTTCATGTCTTTTTTACTCTCTGTTAGGGAGAGCCATGTCCAAGACCCTGCCTGCTCTATTATTCAAGAATTTCACTCCAACTCCATGTGAGGATTATCCAGCCGAAATTTTCACTGGGTGCTATAGTTTGAATATTGAATGTCTGAAAACAGACCCCATGTTAAGGGCTTGATCACCTGAGTGGCACTATTCGGGGGTGGTATAACCTTTAGGAAGTGGAGGTTATTGGGAATAAGCTCTTGAAGGGCATTATGGGACGCCAGTGTCTTTCTCCCCAGTCTCTTTCACTTTTACTTCATGGCTATGAGGTGATCAATTTGCTCAGTCACGTGCTCCCTGCCTCAGCCATCTAAAACTCCCACCTGAGACCTAAAAGCAGTTGCTATACCCAATCATGTTCTGGAACTTCTAAAATCATGAGCCAAAATAAACCTTTTTTTTTCATAAGTTAATTTTCTCAGCTATTTTTCTATAGTGATGGAAATTTGACTATTACTCACACCTTTTCATGCTTTGATTTTGACCTGCCATATATGATAAAATATTGTATTCCCACATTCAATAATTTTCTAGAAAAGAGCTGTTATTCTGTCAGTCAACAAACATTCAATGACCATCAACTATGGGTCAATGATCATGTGTCAATTAGATATTAAATATATAACTTTAAACAAGAAAATATATCCCTGCTTTCCAGAAGCTCATCATCTAGCATAAAGACAGAAAAGAAAATAGACAGTCAAGATGTTTTCAGCTGCAAATAATGGAAATACAAATCATATCCAAGATCATGTCATGATGCCTATTGAACTTTTACTATCTCATACAAGAAGTTCAAGGTAGGACTCCTTGGAGAATGGTTTATGCAACATCTTGATGATGTTATAGAAGCTCAGCTTCTTTCCATTCCCAGAATGCTGGCATTGCAATATGCTAGCTCATTTTATAAATACAACATGGCTGCATTAGTTCTAAGAACTCCCGTAGACTTCAAGAGATGAAATAGTGTCATATCTTCTTGCATGCCTCTTTACTGATAAAGAAACTTCCCCAAATCCATTAGAGGACTTCTCCTCTTTACCCACTGGTCATTACTGAGTTACATGCCCATTCCTAAACCAGTGATTAGGAAGAGGCGCGGAGCTGCCATGAATAGACAATCAGAATTTACTCCTAGAGTTGAGGCCGAGTTGCTTCTCCTGAGTTGCTTGGGAAAGAGGTGAAAGGCTGAACAAAATGAGGTTTTTCCAGCAGGGAGAAGAAGGGAAATGATGTCCACCCAATAGCACCTGCAGCACACAGCTCACTGCTTTCAGGACTATACAAGAAGCAAGTCCAAGATGCATAGGCCAGGCTCCTAAGGCCACCTGTTTGAACTGTGCTAAAAATAGGCAAAGTTCTTAAAAGTTAGGTTTTCAGATGAGATTTGAGGCAGAATCAGAAATGCAACTGCTTTGGGGCAAAGCAGTGATATCTATAGACTCTCTCCTCTGCATCTTGTATCTTTTGACTCTAGCAGGATATTGCTAGTCCCTTGCACCAAATGTCCAAACCAGGGCTTAGGAGCAAGGGAGACAGGCCACCCCAAAGGGTGGGGGGTATCCTGAAGGTACAAGCAAAGCCCAACTCTCTAATCATGAAAACAGAGTCAGGATTGAGTATTCTGTGATTGAAAGGGTTCTGGAGTCATAAAGTCTTGAGACTAAATCCAAGCTCTGCTTGTTAATAGGTAGGTATATAAACTCTATTGGGTCTCGGTTTCCTTATCTGTAAAGTGGGAATGCTTCCTTTACTGGTTATATATATGCATATATTATATGCATATATATATGCATATAATATATGCATGCCTGGCCCCAATAGTGAATAGTATCTATTATTCTTACTAGAATAAAACACAAGTAGAAATGGATTCGAGATGAACAGGCTAAAAGGAATGAGCAAAGTCTGTGAGCCATAAATTCAGAACTCAAAATAAAAACATAGATTGTGGTTCTTTGTGATGTGCAAAACCCCACTCTCACCCATTTTCTTATTGGATTTTCACAAGAAAGATATTATTCGGACTCCTCCATCTTACAGATCAAAAACAGATTCAGCTGCACTTCTAGCCAGATCACACAGAAAGGGCCAGTATTTTACTCCTCTGCCATCGGCTCTCTCTACCACAGCACAGACTTCCAGCCAGGGCAGGGCACTGGGCCAGTCGGGACCATAGCAGCAGGTCAGTAGGGCAGGAGCAGGCAGGTAACATCACAGACACCTCCAGCATCTGCTCCTGCTTCTAAAAATTCCAGAGATCATAACAGACTATTCACCTATGTACTAAGCAAATATTTGAATGCCCATAAATTTCCTCTAGGCACTGGGATAGCATGACCAATAAGACAGATCCAGTCCCGGCCCTTAGAAAACTTCAGCCTAGCAGGAAAAACTGCCAAGTAATTAAGCAATTTCAATAAATTGAACCATAGGAGCCCAGTATAGGGGGGTCTTAGGCTTAGCCTAAGGGTGTTTGGAGCCTTCCCAAAGGAAATGCTTTTGAACATAAGTATATCCCAACTATTGCAGAACATGTGCTTATACTAAAATATTTATTTGTTGGTTATCAAAAATTCAAACCTAACTGGGCCATTTTAAACCAGGGAGAGAAACTGACACATTCCACAAACTAAAAGTAGTTCCTCAACATTGAAGTTCAAATAAAGCCACAAATTATGAAAGAAGAAAGTCACCAAGAATTAATTTCCATGGGGAACTCAAGTTCAAGAGAGATGTGGCTGCAGGTTAAAGAGTCACAAACAGCAGGACTAGAAGACCACCTTTAATGGAATCACTCGGTCTAAGTCTCCTTAAATGTCTCCTGTCCAGGGCAGTGTTTCTCTGTCTTCATCCTGCCTCACAATCTCCAGGAAGGCTTGTTAAACCACAGATCACCTGGCCCAGATCTCAGAGTATTTGGTTCTCTACATGTGGGATGGAGACTGATCATTTGCATTCTAACAAGTTTTTACATGATGCTGATGCTTCAAGGCCACCTTTTGAAAACCCAGAAAACAGACCCCAGAATTCACATCAGGGCTCTCCAATTTCAGCGTGCCTAAGAATCATCAAGGTAGCCAACTAACAACACATTTCCACCTTCTCCATGATGCAAGTTTAGAGGCATAGAGAGTACTCTGATGTGCACCCTGCCCTTTTGAAGAAATGCTATTCATTTAATTCCATCAAGCTCTTTTTGGCATACATCTCTAAGTATGTCTATTTATTTACACATAAATTCTTTACCTATACCACTATACTTACACATTATTTTAAATCACAAAAATTTCACTTTATGAAAAAATGTAGAAATATATGTTTTCTGTCCAAACCCCAGTGGATTGCCTTGCAATCCCAGTTTTGGCCAAGGGCTGCTCAAAGTGTGGTCTGTAAACTGGTAGCATCCACATCACCTGCTTTTCTGGGATCTTGTTAAAAGGATAGGTTCATGGCACCCTGGATCCCTCCAGACTGCTAAGCAGGATCTCTGCACCCAGGCAATTGCTGTTTTACTGAGTTCTCCACATGCTTCTATGGACAGTAAACTTTGAAAACCATTGATGGCTACATGGACAGCTGGAATTCAGTGTCCTTGGCTCCATGATAAGGACTGATGGGAAAAACAAGATAACACTGAGCTGAGGGCAAGTCCCTGGGCTTTGAGGTGCTGAAATCACCCATTGAAATTAAGTATTTTTAATAAACATATTTGGGCCAATGATGATTGCATGATTATTCAGAAAGCTAGTGTTGTTCTGATGCTATTTTACTGGCACAGTATTGTCCAAGAAAATTATTGATTTTTTCTATGGCTTCAAGAAAATTCACCTGGTTAGAGGAACCAGTGGTCCCGTTTGTCCAGGGCTAAGTGTAAACCTGGGCATAGGACTTCCAATACTACCCCAAGAAATTTTGGGAAAGTTGAGATGAGCTGGTCCCCTCACCTGGACTCCTTTATGACAATGTTTGGTATCTTTTAAGAAATTTAATTCTTTTCTCTACTCCACCAACCACATAACCTGCTTATAAAGTGGGGATGGACAGGGAAAAACAGCCCTCAACTTAAAGACCTGTTTCTGTTATTTAATGGCAGTGTGATTTTCAGCAAGCCAACTGATCTCTGCAAACTCCTGTTCATCATCTGTAAAACTGGGACAAAATCCTGCCCCTGCACATCACAGGACCCTGTTAAGGCCAGGAGAACTGGCATTATGAAAGTACTCTATGCGTTATGAATCTCTCTAGGAGTGTAAATAAAGACTCCTCGATAATGTGCAAAAAGTGGTACAGGAAGAGCCTAGCTTCAACCCTAGCATCAGCACCTCTCTGGGCACATTATTTTATCTCTCTGAAGTGATCTCCATCTGTAAGATGGGGCTTCAAATTACCTTTTCTCATTGAATATTAAGAAGATTAAAAGACACAGTGGTCACAAAGTGCCTGACATATTTGGAGCTCCAAAGTATTAGTTCCTTTCCCCATGATTATAAGACATTCAAAGACTTAATGATAGTTTTTTTGCAGTTAATGCCATGAATGGCATCATTATACTTGCTTCCTGAAGTGAAAAGCCACAATAACACTCCTCCCTGCTCCCAGGGTCCCTTTGATGTGGCAGGGGGTGGGAAAGGATGTTATTTCCACTTGGTATAACCAAGTCAGGGAAAGCGGCCCAGCTCCTACCCATAGGGGAGTGGCACCATGAAGGTGCTGGCTTGAAGAGGCCTGAGATGAAATTCACCATGACCTTTGCAACTGGGGATACCAAATCTCTGACTT